GGCGGCGGGCCCCTGCTCACGGGCGGCGCGGCGGTGCACATCTCTGCCGCCGGCGCCGCCAAGGCCACTCTCTACTGCCGCGTCTTCCTGCTCGACGGAACCGAAGTGAGCGTGGACCTGCCGGTGAGTGACGGGGCCGGACCCGGGCACTGGCACCCTGCGCCCCGGGGCGCCCCTCCCCCAGTGCTTCCCGCCGGGGCGCTCTCCCCGCACCTCGCCGGGGGTCCCCTCCCCCTTCCCGGAGCGCTCCTTAACCCTGGTTCCATCTTGGGCCACTCGGCCCCGGTCTCTTCCGGGGCCCTACTCCTGGCTGGCGCACCTGCCTTGGCACTTCGCGCAGCGGGCTGGCACCTTCTCTGCGTCCCACCTCGTCCCTTGGGCCTCCCTCCCCGGCGCACCCGGTCTGCCGTCCCGAGTGCCCCTCCTCCCCCGGCGCGGGTGACTGTTGTCCTTCCTCGGGCCCCCTCCCAGGTTCCAGCCGGTGTTTTCTTGGTGCTGGGTTATTGGTTAGACAATCTTAAAGCAATGCGGGGTTGCCCCCGGGTGGCCCACTTGCCCACAAACTCGCCACCGGGCCTTGATGAGGTGGCAGGGTTGAAGCCTTCTCTCTTGCTGCCGGGCAGGTGCCCCAAGTTTGGGAGGGAGCCAGGGGACCATTTCTGTGCTCTCCAGATCCCCTTTCACACACGCACACACCCCAATGCCCCCTCATCTCCATCCCAAAGAGCCCACCGGGCCTGCAGCCTCGTAGGGGGTTGGGCCACTTGGGCGCCAATTCGAGAGTCGACTGCTGGAACCTGGCCAACTTTGCGCGGTCTGAGCCTTAGCAGGTGCGTTGAGAGGCGGCTCCCCGGCGCCCTGCCGGCCTGGTGCGCGGACTTTTCCCCGGGCAACGTGCGTGGGGCCGTGTAGGTACCCGAGGCGACCGCCCTGGGGCCTGAGTCCCCTGCCACCCGCCCACAGGTGGTTGCATTGCACCCCACCTCCCTTCAATGAGAGCTAGGTTGGTGCTGCCGTCAGGGCCAGGGCGCCAGGCTACCGACTGTCTTTATAGCCTAAGGGGCCAGATCCGATCAAATCAAACCCTCACATTAATGGGGCGCCTGCTGTGCACCCAACTGTGGGGCAGACGGTGCCTTTGGGAATCCTTTCGTGTGGCTGAGGGCACAACAGTGATTGAGCTTTACAATAAATGTCACAGATCATCCCGAGGGTCTCAAGGGGGAAAAACAACATAGCTGGACTTTCAGAGAGCGTTTAGGCTCCCTTGAGTGAGGAAAATTCTTTGGACTTCTTGAGAGAACAAGGAACCTGTAAGGTCTTCAGATGGGAAAATCAGAGCCAGTCTGACCTGGAGTTTAAAGCTTCCTTGTATATGTTTAATTTTGAGAGGGTTCGATGTATGGCTCTCCCCGCCCCCCTCCCATCCTCCTATTCTCTAGGTACCATTTTGTTATGATGATACCTTTTTTTTGGGGGGGGGGCTTTTAACTCTCGAGAAGGTGACAACAGAGCAGTGCTCAGAGTTGTAGTCTTTAACATAGCATTACAATGTTACTGCGCCCCAAGAATGAGGTTCTCCAGCGTTTAGTCAGCCGGGAGAGGAGGCCTGAAGAGCTAAGCAGAGTGGGGAGATGGACAGTTGTGTGTGGAGAGGATGTGGCGTATTTGGTTCTGGGATCTGGGAGAGGAATGGCATCCTTGGGAACTTTGACAGTGCTCCTCGCTGATGATTTTCTTGTCTCTTCCCTGGGAATGATTCGTTTATAAAATGTATTGCTTCTGTCAGGTTTGTGCGACAGGCTTAAGTGGTGTTTCTGGGATGAAAAAATACAGACTGAGTCAAGTGCATGCTTGGGGAGTAGACCCAAACTTGTACTGAAACGAACCTGCAGGCTCTGGGTGGTGCCCGCTCAGGCAGCTGGGGGCCACCCCCTCCCACCCCCACCACCAGCTCAGGACCCCTAGGGAGAAGGGGCTCATTTGCATAGGCAAAGCTTTCTTCAGTTTACTTGTCAAAAGAAGGTTTTCTCATGATGGCAAATGATTTCTTGGGGTCTTTAAGACATGGTTTATTTACAGACATACGCATATGCTTGCAGTAGAAAGGCACATAAAAATTACCTGGGGGGGGGGGAATTGTCAGGTGAAGTCTCTAGAAGGAAATATGAAGAATTGCCAGTGTGCCCAGATCGTCGATTTATTAAAGATTTATTAGGTATTGGGACTACATCACAGCCTCCTGCGCCAGGCTTCCTGGATTAGCGTTTCAGTTCTGATTGATTCTGGGATTTATGAGGTTAACGCCAGGTGGCCAGCTCCCCACCTGTTTGTCCTTGGGGTGGGGAGGGGCTCCTCCCTCAGACCCATTTCATGGAGCTCACTTTTTATGTTCGCCTTTTTGACTTTTGGCTTCAGTTGTCACCATTCTCCTTTCTGCCATCCTGACTTTTTACCACTTCTGGACTGGCAGGGCTGCCTGGGCCGCACATAAGGTATGCCTTGGTTCTCCACGCCAGGCTCTCCCTCTCAGTCACTTCCATAGGAGCTCACACACTGGCCAGACTTCCCACCACCTCTTTGTCAGGAGAACCTCTGCTGGTGTGAAGTCAGGAATTCCTTTGCTCAGCACTCAGTGGTTATGCATTGCCATAAACCACTTGATTAGCCCTTATCAAGCAAGGTACTCATGTTCTGAAGTTGCTTGGGACACACCAACCTCAGTGTGGCAGTTCCTGGGGCACCTAACTTTTCTATTCAGTCAGCATTTATGGGGCATCTCCCGTGGGCCCAGTGCTATGTCATGGACACAGAAACGAGTGAGAAGTGTCCTTGAGACTCCACGCAGGTTGGAACATCTTTTTGTATGTGAAGCTAAGGGATGTGACAGGCTCCCCAGGGGAGGGGAAGGGCTGAATTGGGAAGACTATCTGGAGACTTTTGACACTTGAGATTATAGGGTGTCCACTTGCATGTCTGTTGGACTTTTTTATAATAGCTGTGTGTCAAGTCAACTTAGGAGCCAAGCCAAAGATCAACTGTCATTTCCAATAAAGGGGGAGCCACTGTCGTGTTCTTTAGCTGTGATCTTTTTCTGGTGAGGGGCTTCACCCCTCTGCACCCTTGTGTATTCTTTTTTAAAATTATCTAGTTTTTATTTATGCATTCAAGAACTAGGGTGTAGACCAGAGGTGCATGACATGAGAGGATTCACCAGAGATGGAGTGGGGAGCAGAATAGGCGGATCTCCTGAAATACACTGTTGAGGGGAGCAATGGGTGAGACAGAAGAGGTCTGCTGTGACATGTGGGTCAGCTTCCTGGCCAGGGATCAAATTTGGGCCTCAGTGGCTGGTGATAGCTTGATAGCGCTGAGACTTTAACCCCTACAGTACCAGAAAGGTTCTTCTGGGTATTCTTAACCTTTGCTATGGAGAGTAGTTTCCCAGTCTTGGGTAAAACGAATAAAAGGCTCTTTCAGAATCTGCTATACCATGCAGTGTCAAGTGGACTGCACACAGCCAGCATCCAGGGGAGTCCCTGGCTCAGCCTACAAAACCACGATGCCACTGTGAGCCACTCCTCTCCAGACAACCTGGCCCTGCCTTAGAAGGTGACTCCCTCTCTAGCCTGACCCTGCCCTGCCCTGCCCAGCCTTCAGGTGTGGTGTGGTCAGAGCCGAGCTGGACTCCCTCTGCCTGCCCCAGTCTCTTTCCTTCTATTAACGCAGCTGAAGATCCCATTAGTGTGCTTGGCAGTGGCACTCGCTGTTGACTCATATTAGCTCTCTGTTGACTAAATCCCTGGCATCCTTTTGCTCGTGCGGCTGTTGCTCAGCCCCGGCTCCCCCCTCTTCAGCACACACAGTCTTCCAGCAGCTGTGTGTGAAAAGCTGTCAGGCTGTGTGGCTGAATGGTCAGCTCCCACCATGCCTCGGAGGGCACAGACAGTGTCCGGACCTCAGTGCCGGCTCGCTGGGTCCAGTGCAGGCATGGAGCCCAGTAGCTAGAGGTCTCAGCTCTGAGTATGCAGCCTGGCTGTGCAGCCTCGGACTGACTGCAGTGTAATCTTTCTGAGCATCGGTTTTCGCGTCTTTAGAATGGGGCTGTTAGGATGACATGACAAGAAGGCTATAAAAAGCCTCTGTATGCATACATAAATAAATCTTTGTTAAAAAGCCTCTGTAAACAGCTGGGTGCCGAGGATTGCTTGTAGGTTGTAATCTTAGACATGTCTCACGCCTCCTCTTTGGCCTATGGAAAGGGTTTGGAAAATTTTCGAGTAAGGAACACTTAAAAAAAGCTGTGCCAGGAAGGCTAAATATTAGTTGCTTCTCCTTTAATGGAAACTGAAAGTTGGATGTAGTATGAGCGATGATTTTTAAGAGTCTCACTTTGATTTAGAAAAGAAGCCCCCCAGCCCAAACAAAAAAATAAATAATGGTTCTTGGAATTTTAGGTCTAGAACTGCTGAACCAGCAAAATGACATCATATAACACACACCTCACCGTGGCTTTGGAAAGGATCCCTAGACAGCATCTGATGTTGTACGTGTTGCACCTGTTGTGTATGTGGGGAACTGAGGTTGTGAACTGATGTCCCTTTAGGCACTCAGTGGAGAGTTACAATGGGCTTCTTTGAGGACCTTGGTGGCCTTGCCCTTGGAGGTGACTCCCTACCCCATCCCCCCAGACCCACATAGGACTGGGGAGGGAAACGGTATGTTTCTGGCAGTTGACAGTGGGACACATTTCCCTGGAAGAGAGGACTTTCCAGCACAGTGGTTCTCTGACTCTAGTGTGCACAGCACTCATCCAGGACTTTCTTTTCTCCAATTAAAATTTCCAGAATCCCTCGCCCCCTCCACCCCGCCCCCCCGCCACATTTCTGACTGTTTAAGGAAGCTGGACTCGGGTAGCCCAGGGGATTCTGATGAAGGGCCTCTCACGTCCTTTGAAAATCACAGACACTGGAATTGGGAGAGCAGATGGCACTGCTATACTGGTCACTAAGAGCTGCTGGGCCCAGGTGATGAGTACCTTTGAGTTGGGAGTTGACCGTTTCCTACCGGAGCATTAGGGAGCCCATTTTTGTCCCAGCAGAATAGGGACTAGGCTGGAAGGG